GTGAAGAGCATACCTGTTCTGGATGTAGTGCGGTGTTCCCCACTTTGATACCACTTCTCATGGTACATATTTGTTCTCTGCATATGATCTCTGTCCTCACTGGCCCTCTGCCTTTTCAATGTGGGATTCTAACTATTATTGTCAGTGGAGGTATGTATGTTTTGGAAGTTATTATTTTCCTAAACTGAAAATGTATTTCCAGACATATTTACCTCCGCTGACACTCTCTCTCCCCACTAAGAGCCAGTGTTAGTGACAGGGATGTGGTAAGTCTCGAAAAAGTGATTTTACTGTATGCATACAGTGCTTATACAGTACCTGCATAGAGGGCGTGTGAGGGCTGGCATAAAGTTTTGCAATTTAGATATTGCCGAGGGCAGTCGAGTGGGGTATATAAAGACTGGAGAAAGCGAACACAACATTAGATGGCAAAGATGAAGATTGAGAAATAGCTATTAGTGTCAGCGGAGGTAAGTATGTTTGGTAATACATAGGAAAATGATAACATTTATCCAGAGCTCTTCATGTGACTGGTCATTTTCATTCAAAGTTAGGGGAGGCCATAATCTTGAGAAATCACCTGACTTACCATTGAATGACATTGCTGTCTACATTTTTATACAATGTGCAGCATCACAGACAGTCTCACATGGGTGAAACAGGTGTGACGATAAAAGAATGGCATAGGAACAAAGGTAGCTGGAAGAAAATTAACTTAATTAACAACTTTCTTGACCACTTGTTATGGGAAAACTGCACATACTTAGAATGGATGAAAATTTTACTATTTACATTAAAATAAAAAAGGAGAAATTGCTTGCCTACATAGCTCAGACTAGCCTGGTGTGTGACAGGTCTTATGTTTGAATGTGAGCCAAGAAAATAAATTTGAATTACCACAAGACAGAACTCTAAGAAAAGTCTGAAGGATGGGCCTTGTTTGTGACAGAAGGAAAATGTGGTAACTTGATTTCTTAAAAAGTGCCTTACTGACATGCAATACTGAATTAATCTTTACTTTAGTTGGTAGAACTTTTGTCTGGTTTGTGAAAGGTCTCAGTTTCAGTTCTGAGCCAAGGTGATAATAATAATATTGAAATTACCACATACCAATCTTTGAAATGGAAAGACCAGTAATTTTAAAACTTGCATTTATATATAAATCTGGATGTTTGATAAATATGTGTTAGTAACAACTCTATGTTTTTTGTTTGGGTTTAAAGATAGTTGTAGTTGTTTAAATGTGTGTATGGTATTATAATTGGTGGAATTTTAACTCTTGACTGGTAACTTTGTATAAGCCTAGCAATTATTTGTACAAACATGCAGCCGGTAACTGTGTCTCTTCTGTTACTTATAAGAAAATGTGAGCCAAAATAAGTTTTCATATTTTGATCAGCAACTATTTCAAGATGTATGTAATATATGTATATCAGTTTTTGACCTATATGTATTATGATTTACTATTCATTTTGAAGTGTTATTGTTTCAGAAAATTGTTGATATTGAGTTGTATCTTACAAATGCTTTCAGAAGTTGGTCCACCTCCTGCAAGAACTGGGAGAGATTGTATTATATCTTGTAACAACTGACAGTTGTGTTTTAACTGATTGTAAAGGAAACTATAGTATTTTACATTTGTTTGTTATTGGAGAAACATTTAGAGTATTTGCTTCTGAGTTCTGGTTTTAAATTCTGCTTACATGGCTTAAATACTGTTTTTTTATCATGTAGGATAGGTAAAAAGAGCAGAATCTTTAGTGAAGGAAGCTTTAGAAAACTGTTCTGTTCCTTTTATTTGATAACATTTATTATACTGAACTAAAATATAAAAGGTAAATATGGCATATGTTTTTTAACTTAAAACTATTTCACCTATGTGATTTTATATGGATTATACAAAGATAGGCTTATGAATTAAGTCATTATGCAGGCTTGGACAGTGTGGGGGTGATAGGGTGATTCCCCTCCCACAGAAATTTGTTTCATTCCAGTCCATTTCTAGTGCATAGTGTTGCAACCATATATGTCTTTGTTAAATCACCTTATTATTTTGGCATGTAAGAATCGTGATGAAAGGCAACATAGCAGAAAAGCTGGAAGTGATTTTGTCCGGTTTCATTGTTCAAATCATTAGTGTTGAATAAATTCAGTGATAAGTATACTGAGGTGATAACATTAGAAATGGCTCAAGTAGCAAAGGTAATGAATATAAACTGAAAACCAACATCTACGTTATTTCTGGCAAATGTATTTCTCTTTAAAGTTTTAAAGTTGAACATTAATTTAACTGGTGGTTTCTTGTGTGTGTGTGTGTGTGTTGATTTAACTTAGTTTCTTTAAGAATTATTGAATAGTGTGTGGGGTGGTGTTTAGTACTCGTTTTTACAATACAGAGGTATCAATAACTCCAAAGTTCGTTGTTATTTCATACTTCGACGTTAAAGTTATGGCTTGTGTTCGCAAACAAACACGGTTGTATCTTGCTATTATTTACTGAACCACCGGTTGCAGTATATCTACTTAGTTCTATTCTGATTTTGAGAAAACTTAGAATAGTTTCATAATTGTAGTTTTGCGCCTGACGACAATGAACGTGTATTACATCCCATGTGAACGTCAAATGTTTGTTGTTGCAGTGTGTTTCTGAGCTAATCGAAGTATTTTCCCCTTCCCATTCGATTGTTGTCGTGTTTCTCAACGTTGCCATGGTAATTTCCAAGAAAACAAACTTGGACAACTTGCGCATGCTGTTTATTGAACTCAGTTTTAGTAAACACACTTTTACTCAAATGTCAGATTTTGGTTGTGTGAATACTTACCAAATGAAAAAAACAACAAAAAAAAAAACAGTTTATTCACTTTCGTTTACGCAAAGGTATTGTGAATGCCTTTAAAAGCCAGGAAAAAATAGATTAACGATAATGCAATAAAACTTTATTTTTACTTTGAACAGTGTGTTCAAACAGACACTTTTCTTTCCTATTCTGATAAACTATGCAATCACAACATTTAGCTTTAAGTATCGTTCTCAATTACAAGCGCGGATATCGAACTATTATTCCCTAATCCATGATACTTAATAAAAAAAAAATATCAATAATTCTTATGGTATCATTGGCTTAATCAGTTAGGTAAACATTGGGCTAGCTAATGAACTAATAAAAAGTATAATAATATTGATAAAGTTGCAAAGGCAACCGATAGGGACTCAAGGGCAACAACATACTCCTTTGTTACAACGTTAGTTGGAGTATAGCTGAATTTTAATAAAATGAAAAACAAAAAACGACAATAACTACTAATACAATTCTATGTATAAAACTATCCCGTTTTCATTAAGACTGAAAAATGATGTGAATATGGTTTGATAATCCTTTGTAAGTCATATGAACTGGATAGAATGCATATGGTGATTTACAGTAGCCATGCATTATAGTTATATATAGCATATATTAACATTATAACATCTAAAATACTGATCTAATCTTGAACAGGAAGAAACAGGCCGCTTTGTGTTCATTAATGTATGTACTACACACAGCAACCATATAATCATCACATAAAGGGAAACTAATTTTGTAAGTGAACCTGATATAAACATTCTTATCTAACCAGATACTTTTCATGATGAAATCTAGTTGAATGGCGGCAACTGCCTGTTGTAGAAACACAAGTATAGAGGGCGATATTTCGAAAATATTCCGCCTTTCGTCTTCAGGTCAATGTGTGTATGGTGTTGTCGGTCTTTATAGTATTCTAATGGATTGTGGATACTATAAAGACCGACGACAATATACTGACTTGAAGGCGAAAGACTCGAAACAATAGGTAGTTGCCGTCCATTCAACTAAATTTTATCATGAATTACTCTACCTAAACAATCTTTCAAATAATACAGATACTTTTCATATGAAAGATAAATTAGCTTGGTATCTATAACTAAACAGCTATCGATTCTTCTGTTTGTGCATTATTGTTATTGTATAATGATTAGATCATGCCCAATAATTATCTGTATGAAAACTGAGACTATTTTTATATTTACTGCTATTAATGTTACCATAAAATACTCTCAACAAAATTACACTTGATCTTGTTCAAAATATATTGTATATTGTAGAGGATGTGAAGTTTTTATGAGCAGCATCTGTCTGGAATGTAGAAATGGAAAACGTTTTGATCTCTGTGATTAAACGTGAGCACAGAGCGAAATGTCGTCCACTCTGGGATGATTTTAGCCAAAAAAAAGATATCAAACTCTGGTATTCAACCTTTGTGGAAATATTGGTTTGAGAACAGCTCAACAAATGCTAAATTCTCTTATGTGTAACTACTTATATTGTTTTCGCATGACTACATCGCAGAAAGATTTAACTGCTGATCTCCTATGTATATATATTCATTTATGACAGTGGCGTGAAAAACTGATCGTTTATCAGAATTCTGCATCATTATCTATGCAAGTGTTTCACGAACGCCAACAAGAAAAGTAATGACTTATATTCTACTTATCACAAAAAAAAAGAAGTAAATAAACAAATTATTTCTATTCACTGAAATTAATTCTTGTAACGTATATAATACATTTATATGTGGTTGATTGATTATACCGGTGAGTATTCAGTGACATCGTTTTATCATTTTATGGGGCACATGCTGCCTGGAATTAGCTTGTAATACCAGTTACAAAATTTTGTACTATTTAATCTATATCTATAGATTTTACGTATACGTGTTGCAGAATCAACGTTTGATATGTCTCAATAGACACATACAGACTGTTATTGTGTGGACATGAATGCTACTTGTTTGTCAGTTATTTCATTTAAACTATTTGTTGTAGTATGAAACAGTGGATTACCACCTTCCCTGTGGTGCTTTCCTGTAGGGGTTGTGATGGGCAATGAAATGGAGCCGTTCTTGTGACTTAAGCGTATAACTTGCGATTGTTTTTAACAGCCAGCCAGAGTCGTAGAACTCGTTTCATTGCTCAGAAGAAGCACATACGTGCGCCAGACAGTCTGGTTGTGTTGACATAAACTCGCGTCAGAAGGGTCTTTCGAATCTTCGAGATCGATAAATTCATGGCAGTGCTAATAATGTAGGATATACGATAATTGTTTAGGACCACACCTTCTATTACCCGGAAATGAGTGCACAGTTGTTGGTAGAATTTTATAAGAATATGAGATAGGAACTGGGGAATTTTTACTTCCCTGAATGATGGAACAGGTGAGTACACACTTGATTTTTCTAACTCTGTATATATGTTTTGCAAAGTATACAAATACTATATTACCTGGGCGGGTTTTAAAGTTCACGTACTTATGGTTACATATACAAATTCATATTGGAATACACTACCCTATCTCGGAAATGTGTATCATTCATAATCAAACGGTTCTGTTTTCTTCCAAGATCTCAGCGATGTTTCGTGTACTAAAGAAAACTGTATTTTACAGTAAGATCCTCAATATTATGAGATCAGCAAACATTTCCTTTAAGGTTTTGTGCTGTTTTTTTGAAAGGCTACTGAAGAACTGTATTATGAACTAGCAAAATGGCATATTTTATATTTGATATGATGATTACTTCATCTGTAATGGAGTCTCGCATATTAGCATAGTTTCATGATCAGAGAATTTGGTTACAAGTCGAATGGAAAACATAAATATTTTCAGTTCTGGATACACCCAAACTTTTTAATTTTTTTTTTTAACAAAAACTTTTATTCAGTCGCTGCTGACTAAATATATACTTTTTTTGTTGATAGTAATATCGAATAAAAAGCTATCGGCCATATAACCATGAGATGAAATGCTTTTGTTTTAATATTACAGGCATGTTCTTCTATTATCTGTTCTATAGGGTATTGCATGTTAATAATTTTACACGTATATGACATAGACACATATCTTCACTGGTATAAAACAATTCATGGTTTATATATTTATATCAGTATAGTTGTATTCAGTAAAGTTAATTTAATAATATACTCTAATGGGTTTAGTTCCATGCAAAAACTGGACATCAAAAAATAATGTTGGGCTAAAATACATTTGTTTCAACATTTTAAATCACTTTGATAAAATATACCTTTACTTACCGTTCTGAAAAATAAGGTTTGAGAAACAAACATGTTGTACTTTAATCAAATACAGGACTTTACGAAACAAACTGAAAAAAGTTAATTTTATAATCCACTCTATAATACACGTTTCTTTCAAGTTTTCAATGACTGTGTAAGGTAAGGCATAATAATTATTTTGTTCACATAAAAAAATTAAAAAAAGGTTATTGTGCTTGCACGTGTGAATTGCGTCATACATTTGACATACCTATCTGGTGCCTTCTCCCCACGCCCTTTGATTGTAGTCATTAAACCTAGGGGTATGTTATGTCCGTTTTTAAAATACATAAGGAGTGTGGGTATTATCAGACTTAACTAAAATTTACACTACCAGTAATAATTTACGTGTCAGTTTTTTATGTTTTATATAAACGTCTATCTAGATATAGATCAAGGGTTCATTCGAAAGCTAATTGAGAAGTGTAACTACAACATAATCAAAATGTGATTGCCTTTAACCCCTGGTGGAAAGTTAGGTTTTATTTGAATCTGTCAATTTCTTTATACGAAAGTGTTTTTGCTTAATATTATACCTTTATTGTACTCGTAAATGTTTAGTCTTTCAATTTATTTCGGTTTGTGTAACCTGTTCTCATTATTTGTACATTTTAGCTTATGAACATTGATTTAAATCAATATTTGTCTTAAGATAAAATATTTTAATAATAGTTTATGTTTTTGATCAATTTAAATACATCTTCAGTAAATGCTGTGGACCTCAGACCGATTCTAATTTCCATAGAGTATAATAACATGTATTCTCTTATGTCGTAAGAAAAAACATTATCTTCACATTCCACTCGAAACAAGTTTTATTACAGTGGTCACATTGTTCTTGTCTACTTGGAACTTCAACCCACTGATTAGTAGTATATCTTTTGGCAATCACCATAAAAAACGATTATTTGTTCATTGTTCCGTCAGATACGAAGATAGTGTTTAAAATTTAGAAACAGTCTATTGCAAGTTATCGGTGTTTGGCGGGAGAGGGGGGGGGGTAATTCGTTTTCCAGAAACGTATTGTTGCGTCAGTGAGTCACATGACTACTGTGACGCCACGTTTCTAGAGCTATCCTGTACCTTGGCGAGTGCTCTAGTATTTACTAGATAGGGTAGTCTGGTATATATAAGAGGGTAATGTAATGTGTGTGTAGACAGTGAGTATTTGATCTGCAGTCAGAAGTATTATTGAGCACGTTCGTTGTTATAGCGTTTGTTTAGCGCGATTGTTGAAGTTGAGTGTATCGGTAAAGTTATATTCGGAAAGAATAAACCAGTTTTATTAAGAAATGACTTGTGTCGCTTAAGTTTCGTCGGAACGAAGTTACGGAAAGTTAATTAACGAACGGAGACGTAACAAATTGGTGTC